AAGGTGATCCCAGCACAGTGATTAGACAGGTGACAGCAATTTCACACAAGAGATCTTGGGTGAAGCTGGGACTTGAATCCTAAGGTGATTTTTAAATGTGGTGCATTTAATGTTACAATAGAAAAATGACACGTCTATCTAAGCAACAACAAAAGCTTGAGGTTGTAATATTGATTCCTCTTTGCTGGCATTACCCTGTTTGTCAGCATGACATCTTTTGAGCAGTGGTTGTGCCTGTTTTTATTGTAACTGCAGAATCCCAGTGTACTCAGAATATTGTATAAACAATTGTGCTCTTATTCTGCTTTTCTGTATCATTTCCTTAAAGGTGTACTGATATTTTGTAAAGTTTGGGGTTTATTCATGTTGTAAGTCATGATGGGGAAAGTCTTGGCTGACTATTTACCAGATATGTTTTTTTGTTTGCATTTCATTCTGCCTGGACAATGAAACTAAACTTGCTGGTAAGTCTCATGTTACTTCCTTTTTTCAGAGTTTCATGCTTTAATTTATGGCTGTTTGTTTCCTGAAAACCAATGGGCTGGGTTGAAATGCAGCCTTTTCCCCACCTTATTTCAAAATAAGGAAGCAAAAGCATTCTTTTATTAAAAAAAAAAAGTCAATTTTTTATTGGTTTTAAACTTCATTAGTCTGAGTTTTATTATATTGATATGAGTTTAGCTCATAACGTTTCTATTATGCTACTTGATTTACCTGATTGGTAGAACTGTACTGTTTTACTCTTTCACTTAATCCTGATATAGGTGAATTTTTCTGGTGTTGCTTGAAATTGTTGTGTTTTGTAGAAATCCTCAAACGTGAGGAACATGGTGGTGCACCCAAAACCAGAGTTTCATTCCTTTGTTTGTTTTATTTTATTTTTAGTCGAGGCCAAGGGCTCCAGTAGTCAGTCCTGCTTGCACGCAGAGCGATCAAACTTATTTCCTCTGTTGTTCCCAGGACATGAAAGTTACATCACCTTTTGCCACTTGGAAAACGAGGCTGCCTTCACGTGCAGCGCAGATCACACCATTCGGAAGTGGGATGTGGTGACGGGGCAGTGCCTGGCCATTTACCGAGGCCACACGTCGATTGTGAACAGGTTGGCTCCCTGGAGCTCTCCCCTCGTGTCCCTGTGATCTGTTACCACATCTGTGCTGTCATTTCACTGCCGTTCTCCGTGACTTCTCTAACAAAACGGGCTCTGCAAACCTTTGAGCTCGTGCTACCCGTGTCCCGTGCTGATTAGTTTTCCTAACAACGGTGCTGACACAGCCATAGGCAGCAGATAGGGGAGAAATGAAAGGCAAACACAGCAGGGGGATCGAGTCCAGGGCTAGGATTGAAATTCCAGAAGGAATTATTCAATTGATAACAGATGCTTCTGATAAATAGATTTTAAAAACATCGTGTCATGTCTTTGTGTTGGCAAGAGGGGTGAAGTCAGGGCTTTTTCTTTTACTGCTGTTTGTGCAAATGAAGTTTAATATTAAACTATTAAATTAATTGTGGGTGGCTGATTGCCCTGTCTTTTTAAAGTGCCTCTTAATAGTTGGACTGGATTTAATTAATGGCAAATAGAGCAGTCAAAGATTGGTATTTTTTTTTAACATTTCTTTTCTGGTGGGTGTGTGGGTTTTTTTGTTCCTTGCTAAACTCAAAACACATACGATGTGTAGCAAGATTCTGTAAATAGTTAGGAAGGCTGGCTCCGTGTTTTGGCACCGGCCTGATTTTTTGCTTGAATCAGCAAATGGGAAATGTGTTCCCTATTCATATGACTTTGATGCCTGTTTGAAAGGTTCCAGAGGACCAAACTCAGCTGACAAAGAAGGCAGGTTGTGGATGTTCCACATCTCTGGTTTGGAAATATGAACTTTAGAGATTTTTCTGTTATTATACGCCTGTGCTGCTACAACTTATTGTTTTGGAGGCCCAGCAAGTTGAATTCCTGAGCTGTAATCTCTGATTTGCTCTTCAGTTATGTAATGAATGGGATACTCTTTCTTTACCTTTTTTGAGATCCTGAGCTAAGTGAAATTAGGTGTATATTTTTTTTTCTTGCACTCTCTTTATTTGATGATGGAAAGGTGGTTATCTTTGCACACCATCAGTTGCAGTTCAGGTTCCTGTAATGCGTTTTTTAGTGTTTTGGGTTTTTTCTGTTTTTAATTCCAAGCTATTGTCATAGGTCAGTTTATAAATTTTTTTTTTAATAAAGAAAGACTGAAGAATAATTGCCAAGAATAAGTTACTTAAAAGAAAAAAAAAAAAAAGAAAGAAACCAAACAACACATCAAACTTGTAGCTAGTAGGTGTAACTCATGAAAGTTCATGATCCCTGCTGGGAGGAACTTTAGCAAAACACAAATGCCCAAAGTTACAATGCTATAGTGTAAAAATATAAGTACCAATATATGTACCTGAATAAGGGGTCTTGGTTTTAAAAGTAGAAACAGAGAAGTGTTCAGTTTCTAAAAACACTGAATTGGGGTTATAAATGTTGTGTTCATGCTGCTGTTTCATGCTTCAGGGTGCTTGGCGTTGAAAAATGTGACAGAAGAGGGTTATATAAAAAGAATGATGCTATTCATGCATAAACCCCATGTTTTTTGCAGGATCCTGGTTGCCAAAGACTATCTGTTCAGTGGCTCCTACGACAGGACGGCCCGCTGCTGGAGCGTGGACAAGGAGAAACAAATCCAGGAATTCAGGGGCCATCGGAACTGTGTCCTGACTCTGGCTCACTACTCCTCCAGGGATGTTCTTGAGGAAGAGGAGGAGGAAGAGGAGGAAGAGAGGGTGAGCAGAGACCTGCTGGTGACAGGGAGCACTGACTGCACTGTGAAGGTCTGGTGGGTGTCCAGCGGGCGCTGCTACCAGACCCTGCTGGGACACACCGGGGCCGTCCTGTGCCTTATACTTGACGCACCAAACAGGGAGCTGTTCTCCGGCAGCACGGATTACACCATCCGCACCTGGAATATTGTCACTGGTGAGCAGCTCAAAGTGTTCAAAGAGCACCAAGGATCAGTCATCTGCCTAGAGGTAAGAGCTCTCCTCAAGAGCCTTTGGAAAGGGGTGTCCATGCCTTAACTCGTGTGGGTCTCCGTTGTCCTTTTGTTCACAAAGAAGCTCTTCCAAGGCAGGTTATTAAATTAAATATTCATGTAATAACAAAATAATGTTCTCTGGTCTTTAGACAAATCCTCTTTCCTAAAACACTGGGCTTCTAGTGGCTGTCCTTGTCTAACTTCTAGCTCAGTATCTATTTAAATCCTCCTAGGTCTTGGAACTCATGAGTAGGTTTTCTGGGTGCAACGTTCACCTGAGTAGGATTGTGCAGACAGGATCACCAGACTCTGAAGAAAATACCCTGAGCAAGTAAACGGTCACAGCGTCAGGTAACTTAAAAAGAGGAGGGGAAAAAAAAAATTCAGAGTAAGCCAGATAACTTAAAAAACCCCAGCCCAAATCCTAACACAAAGTTGTGGGCAAAAGATAATGGGAGAGCATAAAGCTGAAAGAAATCCTACATTAAAAACCACACAGATATAATCTGAGAAAAGAAAGGGAGAAAGAGATGGCCAAGACAAGGAAACGGGCAAGGAAAATGGGAAAGAGAAGTAGAGCATAGGGAAGAGAAATCAGGAAATGATGAAGGAAAGAGGGGAAGGAATGTAACGTGTTCTGAAAAACTGTGCTCTGTTTTTCTGTTTGCAGTATTTTTCTGGTGAATGCTGCCAGATTTGTTAATGATGCAGGGAAGAGGAGAAGGTTAGGCAGATGAAGCAAAATGGGAACTATCGCACGAGCACTTACCCTGTGCTCTCATTATCCACCAGAAAATGCTCACAGTGTATTTAAAGAGAGTATATGATGGTCTGTAACTTAGTTTCAGGTCAGCATAAATGTTTATAAATGCGTGTGTCTGACTGAAGTTAATGACAGTAGTTTTTCTTGCTGCTCTCCTTGTTTGTGTTTGTTGTCCATAAGTGTTTTTCCTTTACAGAGGCTACAGGATGTAATTTTAATAGCTGTTTAGTAAATGTTGCCTTTGTTTCTAGAGAAGGTAGTCACAGCTGACACTAACAGAGTAAAAACCTGAGAGTACCGAAGGAATTCTGGTTTTCTTCAGTTTTAGAAAGGGAAAAAAAAAAAACACAACATACAAAGTCATGTTGCCCTGGAGTAATGTTTGTCTTGCTTGGGTAAATTCTCAGTGTTAAAGCTTGTTTTTTTGATATTGTGGTAATGTATTTTGAGGATGCTGAAGTAAATCTGTTGCTGTTCTTAGTGTCACGCTATGTTTTGTTGTTTAATTGTAGCCCTTCTCCAAGGCACAGATTGGCAACGACAGAGCTTGCTTTAATTTAATTGGGTTCTTGCTAAAATTGTTACACAAAACTGGCTTGACCCTCTCCCAGAAGCCTGGGAAATTCAATTATGCTCTTTGAATGCTCAGGAATGAGCAATGCTTCTCTGCTTGTGAGCACAGAATTAAACAATGGTTTTAAACAAACAGAACTTCTTGTAGGGGAGAAGAAAAACAAAACCAATACATCTATTTGGAAAACCTGAACAATTCAGAGTACACAAGACTGCTGCTGCCAAGACTGTGTTGGCAACAGTCCTGGCCAAATTCTCTTCTAGCTGTGAGTAACTGGTAGCCCCTCACTTCTCTCGTCACCAGCTGGTGTATGAGGCTGGGAGAGTCCAGCTGAGGTACATATAGGCCCCCACAGAGAGCATTTAGTGTCCAGGCCTCTCAAACTTATCCCAGCTTAAGCAGTCACTGTACTGCTGTTGAATAGCTTTAGGCTGTTGATCTTTCCTAATTCCTCCCTCTGCCTAGCTGGGTTCAACACTGTCCCTTCTGTTCCACTTGGCAGCCTCTCAGCACAGCCCACATGGTATTTTCATTCTTTCAGAAAGGGGTCAATCACCAGAATCCATACAAAGATGTTACAACAGAAAGGAACCTTCCTGAAAAGAGGTGTTTATTTATTTTTTTTTTTAATTTTTGATTTCTTCTCAAAAAGCTCTTGGAGCCCCTTTTTGCCCTGGGCTCCTCAGTGACAGGGTTGTAATCTGTGGCAGTGAGTTGGGATGGTATTTTTCAAACTCCAGGTCAGGAAGGACTTGGAGGTAGTTGTGAGTTGCTCACAATAGCCAGCAGAGAGTTTTAATTGTTGACAGTAATTAATTTTCTTCAGGGCAGAAGTGAGCTGCTAATTACAGCAGATTTTCACTCCCCCCGTCCTGGAGGAGCTGAGTTGGTACCAGGAATTAGAGGCATTTACCTGTTCTCTGGGTGGTATAATGCTTGTGTGGGGAGGATAAAGGGAAAGAAAAATAAAGACTTATTTTCATTTTATTTATTCAAATAAAGATCCCTAAGGGAGGGTGACCTTTCAAAAAGTTTGAGAAATGCTCAGTATGATCTTTCGTCCTGGACACAGATCAGGAAAAATTTGGATATTGAGACCATATTTCCCCCAACTTTAGAAAGCTGTTATTAACGGGAATGCCCTGGGATGTTCTGAACTGCTGCAAATTAGGTCCAGCCTGTTCCAGTCCTCTCCCATTACTTTCCAGTAAATACCAGTAGTGTTGCTGTAGCAGTGAATGGGAATTCCTGGAGCCTCTTGAAGGAGTTTTCTGGGTGGACAGCCATAAAGCAAAGCACACCCATGTTATCCACCTTGTTTCCTGCAGAGCTGGACTGTGGAAAGCAGAGGGCTGATGCCACAGGCATGTTCGGGTTTTGAGTGTTCCCCAGATGCTCTGAGATCCTTTAGGTGTTGTTGCCAGCTGGTGTAAGTTAGAGGAGCCTGGGAACTACTCTAATCTAGCATGGCAGAACAGAAGAGTGTTGGTGAGCTTTAGGCTTTCCCTTTTCCCCTGTCCTTGGAGGTTCTAGACAGAGGAGTGAAGAGGGTGAGCTGTTCATATCCCCCAGGGCTGGTCCTGCTGTCCCAGCTGGGGTCAGTCTGTTGAAGGTGAGTTACCAACCCAACTGATTGTGGGTGTTCTGCTGGCAAAGGAGCTCTGCTGCAGGTACCAGCTTGTTCTAATGCCACTTTTCTCTTCCTTCCACTGTTTAAATTGGACCAAGAGAGAAAGTCTCCTGGCAAAACCTATCTGCAGTGGGAACTGTGTCCATGCTAGGGGCTTTGGCAGCACTGATTGCTTGATTTTCACAGTCAGGCAAGGTAGCTCATGGTGGAGCAGCCAGGACTCTTCGCTCTCTTCCTCCTGCAGTGCATTGATCGCTTGGCAGACGAAGTACAGCAGCTGTTCTGAGTGCTCCCTCTTCATATAAGAGCCAATAATGAAATTTTATAGGAAGTGATGGGGAAAAGCAAGGGTGGGCTGAGTGTAATCACAGCTCGTGCTCGTCCTTCCACTTAAAAATTTCAGGCCTGGCTAAAGACCAGTATTTGGAATTAATAATCAAACACCCATTTTCATTAATGTGACTGCCTGCAAAAGGCTGAATAACCCTGATTTAAATATTTACTTGTGTATGTTTTCCTAAATGCCTCGGAAGTAGCTTTGCAAACTGTTTACAAGGATTGCTTTGTCCTTCGCTGATTGTTCTGCCTCTGAGTATTTATCAAAATTGCGCTGCCAAAAGCTGGCAATGCGAAATGATCCAGCTTGGAATTCAGCTTGGATCCTACAGCAAACATTCTTGCAAGGAAACCTCTTTTTGAAGAACATGAACATGAGTGGAGAAGGGCTTGCTTCTGGTTTTCCCCGCAGAAGATCCTTTGTTTGGACCATTCCCTTCAGTGGCCTTTTAAAGCTGACTAGAAGGAAAGAATGCTTTGAACAAAGCCACTGCCTGGACTCCGTTTATGTGCCTAACTGTTGTGATCACGGGGACAAGAAATGTTTTCTTGCCACATCAGTTAAATTAAGCGCACACAGTCTTTGTAATCTGTGTTTGTATTTGTTGCATCAGAGGATGAAGATGTGAGTTAGAGGAATGTGAATGTGTACAACACCTGTAGAAGCTAAACGTGCTTTGCACTGCAGTAAAAAAAGGCTGAAAAATGTTCTCTGACAGCCAGGCCAGAGAGCTCTTTCTAGATGGATTCTCAGAAAAAAAAAACCAAAACAATTTCTTGCCCACAGGGAGTTTGTTTGCTCGTTAAAATGAATGTGGTTTGAATGGGATCCTGAAAGTCTTAACTCGGCCGAAGCTTACATAGTTGTAACTTGAGACAGGTCCAAGTTGGTGATTTTTAGCTTAGAAGTGGCTGTGAATAGGAGACCCAGCTGGCAGACTGTAGGAGCACTGACCCCCATGAGGAGAACAAGCTGGTGGTGGGACATGTGGTTGCTGAGAGGAACTTACCCTGAAGTTCCTGGGATCAAGTCTGAGTGCAAGTGACCTTCAGAAAGAGGATGTGCCCAAATCTCTCTGGAGAGCCAGTTGCCTCTCCTTGACTGAGGATTAAATTGTTTCTTATAGCAAAGGTTAATAAGGATGGCAAAGTCCATTCCTCTAAGATTGAAATACCTGTTAAACAGCTCTTTTGCAGATATTTTTGGCATTCCTGCCGGTAAAATTTGTCTTAAGCTGCTGCAAATATTCAGTCCATCCGAGTTTGTGGAGCAGTAGAGTTGTAACTGCCTTGAGAGATCAAACCTAGATGTGATTTTTTTTTTTTTTTTAATTAAAATTCTGGTGTGTTTGGGGGATACAACCATTTCTTATTAATGAAATCTATAACTATTTCAGCATTTACAACTAGGATTTTGCTACTGCTATTACTTTGCAACTCACAAGCAGTCTGACTGAACTTTTTCATGCAATGCTACATCTCCAGTACTTTGGTCTGAGGATTGAGACAAATTTGCTCCATTCATGTGTCCCAGTGTTTCATCAGGGTCAAAGCAAAATGTCTCAGAGTGATGAGAAAAATTAGCAGTCCAGAATTACAAATATCAGTGCAGTGATTTTCTTTTTTCTGCTTTAGAACTGGGCATCTGACTGCCACCAGGTTTTAAAATTGTCGGAAGCTACCTGGGTTTGAAATGTCCACTCAGCCCATTAGTGTCTGAGCTGCAAATCTGTTCTGTGTTGTCCACTCTGCCCAGGTGTCCTTGCCTGGCCGTGCTTTTCCATGTCAGGAGCTTTGTTGGGAAATTAGCCAAAGTGAACCAAGTGTTCAAAGGCCAGCCAAGGAAAATACAGCTTTGGAAATATCACTGCTGTTTCTCTGGGCAGTCACAGGTTGGAATATGCAGCCATTTCTACAGATCTACAGCATGGGGCCAGATTGTAAGTGCTTTGGCTAGGGACACAGTAAGTGATGATTATTAATTTGATCAAATACAGATATCTGAGGTGTTGTAGCTTAGGCTGGAGTTGTAAGCTAGACCTGCCTTTAGACAAGTGAAGGAGGAGTGATCTTGCTTAAATTGATTTGGCCACAGCTGAGAAGGCTGTTCTTGTTGAGGGAAGAAATAGCAAGTTTTAGGGGTGTGGTCTGTTTGAAATGTGCTTCAGGGTGAGATGAATTGTGCCCTAGTCTGCAGTGACTGTAAAGGTCTATCTTAGCTGCACAGATCTGCACCAATTTAGATGACATTATGCCTATCACATCACTTAAGGCAGGTCTGATTTGCAGCTTCAGCCTGAGCTGATAGCTCTTGATGGCTTTCTTCACTAATAGCCATTTCGTGCTCTGTTTTATAAAAATACCCTGGAAATGAGAGGCAATGTGACAGTCAGAGCCTGTGCTGGGTTTTGCTGTTGGCTATGCTGCAGGCTCAGTCTGTGGCATGTGGTAGATTGTTTAACCTGTTAATATTCCTGTTTCCATACGAGGCTGAGGATCCTTTGCTGCTGTGCTCACCTGCTTGAGCTGGTGAGGGGGAGGAAGGTGCACAGATGTGTATAATGGGTTAGCACAGAGGCTTTGAATAAAGAGAAGATGGTTGGTGTGCTGGCCACCTCACCAGATGTCTGGCTGGGCATCAGAAAGCCAACCATGGCTTGTGTTGCATCAACAGCAGCGTGGGCAGCAGGTCAAGGAGGGGATTCTCTCCCTCTGCTCTACTCTGCTCTGCTCTACTCCACCTGCAGTGCTGCCTCCAGCTCTGGGGTCTCCAACATAGGAAGGATGTAGACCTGTTGGAGGGATTCCAGGGAAGGCCATGAAGATGCTCAGAGGGCTGGAGAATCTCTGCTATGAAGACAAGCAGAGACAATTGGGGTTTTTCAGCCTGGAGAAGAGGAGGCTCTGGGGAGACCTCATAGCACCTTCCAGTACCTAAAGGGGCTTCAAGAGAGCTGGAGAGGGGCTTCTTACAAGGGCAGGGAGAGGTGGGACAAGGGGGAATGGCTTTGAACTAAAAGAAAGTAGATGTAGTTTAGATATTAGGAAGAAATTCTTTCCTATGAAAGTGGTGAGGCACTGGCACAGGTTGCCCACTTCCATCCCTGGAAGTGTTCAAGGCCAGGTTGGACGGGTCTCTGAATAACCTGGTCTAGTAGAAGGCGTTGCTGCCCATGTAAGGAGGGTTGGAAATAGGTGATCTTTTAGGTCCCTTCCAACCCAAACCATTCTATGATTCTAAGGCTCTTACAGTTCTGGTGCTATAAATTATCTAAGTAAGCCCACACCATTTGATACATTTTTATATCTAGCAAATTAGCAAACCTAGACAAGTTGCAGCTCTTTTGTTTCACTTTGGCGTTCACACACCCACTTAAATGTAGAAACAAAGCAGCATAACCTAATGTACTGTTAATGCAGAGTGGCATTTACCTGCGGGAAGTTATAATTTAGTAATTTAGTGTTTTCCCATGTTCAGTGGGTGGGTTGATGCTGCTAGCAAGATGTCCAAAAAAAAAAAAAAAAAAAGACTTGGCCAAGAACCACACGGCAGGATCTCAGCTCAAAGCATCCTCTTCCATTTAGCAGGTGCAGCATGAAAATCTCTTCATGCCCATTCAGGCCGAGCTTGGAATTTAAAAATCAGGTTACCTTCCTCAGGCTAACTGAGTGGCTCTTGGTTTTTGTGAGTGCTGCTGGCCATTTGTTCTCTTTCCTCACTGGGATACGACATTAATGCTGCTGTTAAAACAGCTCAGAAGTAATCGGAAATGACATTTCAAAGTACTGCTGGCCTTTAACAGAGGGTTGTGTTTTACAGGCTCCTGGCGTTTAGCTATGAATTCTGTTCCATGGGCCAGGTTCTGCTGGTAGGAAGTGTGGCATTCCCTGCTCTGGCTGGGCTGGTGGGAGCTGTGACCAGCTCTTGCTCTGCCTGCACGCGTTTCTTACGTGGGTTAACACAGTCCCATCACTGCAGTGCTTTGTATCTTAAAAATACCTTTTGTTTCGTGTTGTAACACAGCACAGTGTTGCTCTGTACAGAGCTCACTTATGATGCCTTTTGGGAACGGGGTCATTCCTTTATGGATTTGGAGATGGAAGAGCATGAAAAACTTTCCAGCCTTACAGATACAGAGCGCGCAAAGAGCGGGGGGACTGAAGGTTTATAATTTTCTGAGGTGACAGAATAACCAGACCCTTAGAAGTGCCCTAAGAGCAAGGCCCAGGACAAGTGGATTTGTCATTTGTTGTGCACTTGGTTTCCTGCAGATACCTGAGGAGTGTCAGGGGCCAGTGCACTGCTGGTCATTAGAACCTTCTGATCCGTGTGTCTGGGGGACAAACGAGGTATCGTTACTCCTCATGCAAACTCCATTTCTTGGAGGGGGAACGGGTCAGGGTTCTCCCTGCTGTCTCTCCATCCCTTTGATACAGAGTTTGCTGCAAGTCCATGAAGCTGAGAGGAGTGTGCAGTCAGAGCTCTACATAACAATGGCTGTGAAAACCCTTAGTTTGATTTCATTAGATAGCCAGAGAATGCCAGATTTTTCTCTGCACTGTGGAGTTTTTCCTTGCTGAGCTTCCAGGCTTTATACAGTTTGTTTACTGTGTAATGGTTGGTTTTAAAGTCTTGCACAGGTCAGTTATTTTCTCTCTGTCTCAGTTTTGCAACTGCAGTCCTTCCTCTCGTCATTCTCTGCTGTGGAATAAACCCCACCCTCCCCACCAGTGAGTTCTCACAGGGTACAGGATAACTGGTGGAATAAGGCACCATTCTTCTTCGGGATTTATAGGCAGAATTACTTTAAACACACAGCAGAAGACAATCTGATTGAAGATGTTCAAAAACCTGTGTAAAGGGTGGTAATTATTTAATCATTCAATAACACAATCTGAAAAGGCTTGTAGAAATGCAGGTACAGAACAGCTTCAAGGAAGAGTTAGTGTTTCCAAATGCTAACCTTGTGCAGAGTGATCATACTAAATATAAACTCTGGTTTATGGTATGTAGGATTTTAATTTTAATTTACCTTTTTTTTTTTTTGTTACTCAGAATTGTTCTGAAATTTCTGTTGTAATTAAAACTTACAATCTGAGAAGAGTTCCTGTCAAATATGCTTTGCAGAAGCTACACTGCTGTTTTGGTTTTTTTTTAAGGCTGTAATAATGTACCTAATTATGGAAGCAGGGTTAGCATTGTTAAGCTCACTGGAATCCTGCCTGCTTGCTCCAGCAGACGGGCAAAGTTTTTGTCTTCTGAAAGCTGGGAGCTGTTTTTAAGGCCCAGAAGCCAATGGGAGATGGAGTTGTCGAGAACACAATGGTTTGCTCACCATCCCTCCGTTTCAAGGTGCAGCTGTTGCTGTTGAGTTGGAAACTGACTTTGGATGAGTCACTTCAGTGCAGTTCTCCCAGGAACCTGCCTGAGGGATGATTGCTGATGTCTTCTTCTCTTCCCTTCAGCTCGTGAACCGCCACTTGTACTCGGGGAGCGCGGACAGGACAGTGAAGTGCTGGTTAGTTGACACTGGGGAGCGAATCCAAACGTACAAGGCTCACAAACACAGCGTTAGCACTTTGAAATACCACGCTGGGATCTGTAAGTTGCCTTTCCTCTGTTCAGCAACCCCCCTGTCTCCTTTTGGATGTTTGTCTTTGACTGAAGGTTGTTAATGGAGAATAATTCTGAAGGCCTGCGAAATTGTCACTTTTTTTTCAACCCCAGCATGTCTATGTTCAGTATCAAACTTTGCTGTACTACTCCATATGGGAAGCTTAGATGTTCCCTCCATTTTCAACCTCCCTCTTCTTGAAAATGAAGAGGCAGTTTCTTAAAGAGAAGTGGCTTAAATTCTGAGCTGCCTGGGGGTTGTTAGTGTAGCCATGGTTTAACCTCACAGGTCTGTCACCTGCTTCTCCTGTGTGCTCGGGGACAGCAAGTGCTGCTGGTGGATGCACAGCCCTGTGCCTGCCTCTGCTGCCCCATAGGTACAATGGACTGTCCTAAACTAGAATCTCAGATGCTCACTGCTTCTTTCTCACAGTTGGGCTTCCTGTTCAGACCATCTCCCTTTCCACAGGTTCTTTTCCTCTTACCTGTCATGGTTCATGTATTTGTTCCCCAAACCACCTTTCTGCAGCAGCCAAGCAGGGCTTGCTGTACTAATGTTCTCAGCTCCACTGCCTTCAGTCCTCCTGCTGATAGTGGTTTCTGTACATAAGCGTCTATTGCTGACATAACAGTTTATTCTGACCATCAAACCTCCCTCTTTAAATCCTTCTCTGTGCTGGCATTCCTTCTGCACGTCTCCTCTCCGTTTCTGGTTTTGGGTTTCACGCAGCACCTCTGTTTTTATCAGTGAAGCTCTCTCTGTGTCATCCTGGTCTCATCCTGCCACTGTTGTTAGAGCTGAAGTGCCTTCATTTGCTGCCCAAACAAGAACTTCTCTCCTTTAGGGATGTCCATGGCTGCCTTAAGCTAATCCAGACATTCTAAACACTTGGCTGATTTTGGTTTCTGTACTTCAGCTATGAAGTGAACATACAACACTGAATGAATGGTTGCTATCTGGGCCCCGATCTCTCTTTTGGCAGATCGTCAGTGTGATGGTGATAACTGGCTGACAGATGCAAGATGGTGCACGTTAGCAGAGAGCTGTACCTGCACTTGTCTAGCACCATGCCTGCCATGGCTGGCTGACTACATTTATAACCCACTAACTGAACTGATTTCTAAATTATGTTTGGAAATTTAACATGTAACCAAGCCCAGAGGTGGAATTTTATTTCAGTCAGGGAACCCTTTTTTGGCCCTCCTTTCAGCATGAGACCCACAGCACTACTTTTCTTCATTAAAATAGTTAATTGTGATTTATGGTTGTTTCCGCTCTCCTCACCTACATTTCAGAACTACCCCATTCACCCCTACCTGCAGGTTGTAATTTCTGCGGATTTCAGCTTATGCTGTTGGCTAAAAGGTTGAAATGGAAGGGGAAAGGGTCTGAACCTAAGCTGCCCCCTGAAGTTATTACTGGTCCAAGATGCAGGCAGCGAGCAAGGGAAATGAACCAGAAATTGTAATCCAGGGTGAACACTGGCAGACAAAATATTAATGATTTTGTGTGTGTGTGTATTTTCCCCCTTTTAATTATAAAGACACAAACCAAAACACTGAATTAATCAGGACTAGCCAAAGGTGAGATAACTGTGCTGAGCTGATGTTGGCCTGATCCAGTGAGGAGTATCCATGTCTGGGTGGGAGATGGAGACACTGTCTCCTTCATTAATGAGACCTCCAGAGCTGCATTTTTTTCAGTCTTGGTCCTACTTTTCACACAACCAGTATAGACTTGACCACACTCTAAAGAATAAAGAAACTTTAGGCTCAAACAAAAGTCTCATTATTTGATGCCAGCCCCATCAGCTCTGCAGCTTTCTCTCTTCCCCCTCATCCTACCACCCTGACCCTGCCACACACACACACACACACTATTCTTTCATAACACTTTTTTTTTTCCCCTTAAAATAAAGGCAATATTGCTCCATTTAGTCAGACCAGTGAAGAACATCCCGATAGTGTGACAGAAGTGTTCACAGAGTTATTTAAGGTCTCATTTTAAATCAAACGCAAAGGTACTAAAAGTGTCAAACAGGGAGAATTGAAGGGTACCACTTAAAGGGTAGAAAAAATGCCCTGGAAGAATATTAGGAGCTTGTCTGAATGCATTAGGTGCATTTTAATTCTTGAAAGAGGAAATTTCCCCTTAAAAATTAATTTATATACTACTGTTGCTTGCATTACTGTGTGTTTCCAAGAAGGCTTTATAGTGTACTGAGGGTCCAAACAGATCTGAGAGCTAAAATTTAAGTCCTCCAAACGTGTTTCCAGTGGCTTTCCTCAGCCTACTTGTATAATCAATAGCATGGTGAACACTGCAGCTGGTTTTCAATCTAATTTACTTAATGATATGTTGATTATTTCTCCCTTACAGTGGGTGCACAGTCCTTTAAAATTTAATGGGGTTTATATCTTTTCATGTTGCAAAAACTCCAAGGGAAACGTTTAAAAACTGTTCTCCCTCCCAATGGTCTATGAAATTTAAGTAAAAAACTAAAATTAAATTTTTTTGTTGTTGTTTATTTCACAGGTGGTATATATATCTTTAAATGCTAGATCTGGGATAGATCAACAGCTCTTCTTTGAAAGTCAGAGGTGCAAAGAGACCTCCCAAATCTAGCGTGACAGTTCAAAAGACATAAAAGGGTGTCTGTCAAAAGCAAAAGATCCTGATAGCAATAGCTGAGGTAAACTGAGAGCTGCAGAGGGAAAACAGCTCTTAATTGGTTCCTCTGCATGTGTGTAACAGAATTCAGTGATTTCCTTTCACTGGATAAAAAGTGGGTACCCGTACCCTGCTTTACTTCGTTGTGACTCGTTTGCAGAGTGGGACTCAGTGTTTTTTTGGGATTGTGTTGGCAATTGAATTCATAGTGCCCCATATAAGATGACATTGGTTTTCCAGATCCAGATGTTTCTTGGAGGTGTAGCCAGGAGGTACCCAGCTTCCTGCTGTTCCATTTGAAGTGGGAAGGCTGATGGCAGTCTGCAGCCTGTTCTCTAATCTCATCTGAGTCCTGAATTTACTGCTGTGATAATTTTTTCACCTCTCTTTGTAGATTCAGTCCTGACATCCCCCAAAAGATAAGGAATCTGTGGTTTTCGGGCACTTCGGTTTTGTGAAAATCTTTCCATGCTACTGGCCTTTCAAAGACATGAAATGCATGGAGCAGTGAATATATTGCTTTTTGCAGCTCTGAAATATTTATATCTAGAAAAACTCGAGGAGTTTGGGTTAACTGAAGGAAAGTGAGTATTTGTAAAGGGAGTTTGTGACCTTTAAAGCACACAAATGGACTCCCTTTTGGGCATATTACTAAATACAAAATTAAATATTCAGCACTGCCTTACAGTTGCTGGATGCAGCAATTCTTGGGATCTGACATGAAGATCCTGAAGTGCTGAGAAGTCATTCTTTGTACATCTAGTTAAGATACTCTAAGGAAACCTGATGAACAGCCAAAATTCACGGTCATGCTTAATATACTTACCCCTGCATTGCCCCTCTTGGAGCAGCAGGGGTGATGGAGATACTGTAGCATTGAATGTAAACCTGTAAATAACTGTGGTAAAACAAATGGAAGGTTTAGTGGAAATCCTTAAAGCCAAACTTGACATAAATTGCCTGCTTAGGATTACTGAGGCATGTTTAGGCAGGGAAATAAAGGTGGAAGAGAGGAGCAGAAATAGATACATGAAGGGTGTTTGGAGTGAAATGCTGCTGTGTGTAGGAACTTCAGGTTTAAGGCAGTTCAGTGTTTTGAGAAACACAGCTGAAAACAAGCACGCTGGGGTCAGCAAAATGAAAATTATCTGGACTGCTTTATCTGAGGAGAGAATCAAACCCAGAAATGGTATGTCATGCTCCTTTGTGAGCACGGTTTAGGTGCGTTTTTGAACTTGCATGAGCTGACCTGGGGTTGCTGCTCACATCTGGCCGTGCTGGGCTGTGTGGTTGCGTTGCAGTGTTCACAGGAAGTGGTGATGCCTGTGCAAGAGCTTTCAATTCCAAGAGCGGAGTCCTGCAGAAGATCTTCCGAGGACACAAGTTCATCATCAACTGTATCCAGGTCAGGAAGGGGTTTCTTTGTGCCATTTCTCCCTTCTGACTGCCATCCTCATTTGTTCTGTGGGAATTGGTGTGTGGCTGGCGGGCCTGTGTGTCTTGGACTGGATGTTGTTCTAGGATAAGTCTTGAATATTCCGTATGTAATTTTGGGAAAGCTTGTTAATAATAAGGATAAGTGAAACCACGGAACGAGTCCCCAGGGACGGCCCTGTGTCTGTGACTGGGGTTTTTTCAGGTCAGGTTAAACAAGGAGCCACAAAAAATGAGACGGGTGTAAGTGATGCTGTGAGGGGCACAGAACGGGCTCCAGCCTCGTGAGACCCTTTCCATCACAGGACACTAATGATAAGCGTTTGCAGTGCTCTAGGAGGAAAAGAAGTTTGTGCCTTATTCAGCCAGAATAATATTGTACCATCATCGTCCAAATTGCAGACTCCTGGGTACTGAGCAACTGGTTGTGTAGCAGATGGTCACCTGGGTGCATTTGGGTGGTAACCGATAGAATCCCTCTGGGCAGCCCTGAGTATTGAAAAAGCTTGGCTTTGTATTTTATTTTGTAACTTAATTTCCAACCTGTACAGGGCAAAAAATCCTGGTAAGAGAGAGGGTTGAGAAGTGATGACCTCGATATGATCTTAAGTGTATTAATGAGGGGTGAGGGGGCCGTGGTTGGGTGATGTTTCATGTAAGCCAGAGTGCCAGGGGGGTGCTTGCTGTCGTGACCCACCTCTGGTGACTGAGAGCACACCTGTGGTGGACAGACTGATGGTTCATTAAGGAAATTAAACCACAGGAGGGAATCAAAGTCAAATTACTGCAGGTTTGGAAGAACAACGGAGTTTGAAGGAGGACTTGTAACTGTAACTTACTGCAAAGGAAGAAGGGAAGGAGGAAGGAAGGCCTTCCTGAGCACCCCACTGCTCACTGATGCTGATTTTGGTGCCTCCTTAAGCTCAACATCAAAACCAGCACAGAAATTCCCAGCTACATCTCACTCTGACATCGAGTTTAGCTCCCCATTGCTTTTCTAGTGGGTCTGGGCTATAAATAACTCCTGCTGTTTATATTTTATGGCTCTGTGAAGTGGCTGAGAAATGAGCCCTGACTTGGTAATGTCTCACCCCACTTCAGCAGCTTTTGTGATAATTTATACTGGCTCTTGCCAGGAGCTCAGGCCTTAAGTGTTGGGATCAAGCTGTGTTTGCTCTGATTTGTGACGGTTTGATGGTGCCGATTCCGGGCCGCATGGTTTGGTGTTAAGTGTGACCCCGTTGTTCCAGGTCCACAACGAGTTGCTCTACACGGCTTCCCACGACGGCACGCTGAGGATCTGGGACATCCGGGGAATCTGCAAGAGAAATAAGCGGCGTTTGAAGAAGGAGAGGTCTGTCCAGGGCAGGAGCTCGCAGAAGGGGAGCCTGTCTCGTCTCTTCAACAACAAAGTGGGCTGTATGGTACAGCAGGAGAACGGGGAACACGAGGCCGTTGAACTCATGTGACGGCCCGGAACGGGCTTTCCATCGGTGACCAAAGCTGAACATTTTGTTTTCTGCACCACTGTGTCCATGTAAACCAGAACTTGGAAAGAGATGGGAAATGGCTTTGCTCGAACCTCAGTGTCTTGAGCCAGGGTTCTCTGTGACTGCCAGATGGACTCCAGTCAGATCCTGTCGCTGCAGGTGACTCAGCTGAGCAGCTCTGGGGCCAGCAGGGAAGGCAGGGTGGTTCAGGTGTGGTACCTCTGTGTCTGCAATTAGAAACTTCTCTTGTTTCAGTTCCCTAGGGCACAGAGGTGCTGCACATCTCTGCCTGACCAGTTTCTAATGAGAGAAGTTTTCCCCTGTTGCTGTTGCCCACTCACATGGACCCTGTTCAGCCCAATGTGGCAGTGAAAGGTGTCCTGCAAGCACAGCTACAAATTCCGCCTTCACAGCTCACCTTTGTGTCAGTCGTTGGCCGCCAACGCAGGATGGTTTGGCTCAGCAGCAGGAGTTTAAAGCAGAGTTGACACCTCTCTGGGAAGTTGGGAGTAGTAGGACAGAAATTAATTGCTGCTTTTTTTTTTTTTTCTCCCACAAAACATAAGCCAGAGAACAAGCTAAACCTCAGCCCCTTTTACAAAGGTCAGCTGTTTGCCAAGACACAGCAGTTCCCCTCCTCCCAACAGTCCAGTGGGGTCTTTTTTTTACCTTTTAAAATCTCATACTTCAGCAGAGGAAGCACCAATGACTTCACATGTGTCTTCTGTGAGCTGCCAGGGTTGTGAGCTGCCAGGCACCCATGTACCTTGGGCACAGTTCCTGATGGGCTCCTCTGAAGGGCCTCCTCTTGGCATGGCAGGAGTCGGAAGGTGGTGACTCCACCACCTCTGTGGGTAGCCTGGCCCTCTGCTTGGCTGGCTTTACGAGGGGGAAGGTTTTCCTTATATCCACCAGGAATGTCAAATTGTGATTTTCATGGAAGGGTAAATGAGGATTTATTGGGTGCTCTGCATGTGTTGTCTTTCCTCCTCCCAAGGCTGTGTCTTGCTGGGTTGTTAGTAGCATTGGATAAGCAGTCAAACTCAAGAGAAGGTCTCCCAGTCTTTTTCCATGTTCATCCCTCTCTGATAACCACTGAGCCATGAATTAACAAGGGTTCTTATATTTTTCTATTTGCAGATATAGCTCTTTGTAGAACCAGTCCAAAAATACCTAACCACATGTTTTTATTTTTATGGCTTTATTTATTCTCTACTACAGCAAGATAAAAATGCTGTATTCCTTTTTTAGAATGGATTAATAAACATGTGGCATCTACAGACAAGTGACTGTCTAGTTTTTATTTTTGTCTCATTTAGAGGGGGGTTGGCTGGCTGCAGATGCTCAGCAGTTAAGAATGGATGGAATACGGGAAAATAAACCCACATATACTTTTGGAAATATTTTTGCCTTCCCCTCACTGCTGGGGCTGGAGTCAGGTGTGTGTGGAGCTGTCCTGCCTCTCTCCAGTCACCAGACTTCCCAAGCTCAGATCCCCTATCAGGGGAAGGAGTGACCAGCCATAAAACAAAGCAGAGACGTAAGGGAAAGCAGGGAGGACAGGGGCACATGCCCTGACTCAGCCATTGTCCAGGTGGCACCAAAGACCCCCATCTGACATAGTCACACTGTGAGTTGTGCTGGTCACCTACCCTGCTCACCTTTCCTGCTGAGCAGCTTTGGTGGTTCTTAAATGGCAAGTTCCTGCATCTCGTAGGAATCAGCATTTAAATTATGTGAAATGCTGTAAGAGACTAACATGGGAGGTCATTTGCATCATGCAGACCTAATTCTACTGTAAATTCCAGTCCAGTGGTTGTGGCTCAGCACTGGCCCTGCGAGAGATCTTTATGAGATGGTGGCTGCTGGGTGATGGTTTGCCATGCTGCTGACTTTGTATTTTGGTTCTGAGGATGAACCCGAGTAGGAGGCCTTTATGAGATGGACAGAGTTCCCCAGATCACCTGGGCTGTACTTTCTGTTTAAAACTTCACACGCAGTACGTCAGACGCGAGAGCCTCTCTGGGCATACAGCAGCTGCACAGGCAATCAGCACACATCTCAAAGAGTGGAATTAATGAGTCATCACCACTTCTGCCTGTTGCTAAACATATCACAGTGCCTCCAAATGCATGGTCAAATGAACTTGTAACTTTCAGCCAGCGCCTCCTGCCCTGCTGATCACTTACAACTGCGCAGGCAGTTACTCGGGGGCAGCAGCGCTGGCAGAGTTACATCATTGATGAATGGCTTCTCTGACAAGCGCTGCATGTTATGATGCTAATTTTAAATTCCCCAAGGACAAACCTTCCCTTCTGAAGTTGTCCCTGCCAGTTTGCTGTGCAAGCCACTTCAGAGAGGAGAATTACTGCCTGTTCAGCCCAACATGGTGCATGCCCAGGGGCTTGCAGGCAGTAGGGTTAGGGAGGAAAGAGCGAATTTGTGTGTTTCCACCTGATTCTTGTTAAAACTACATCCATGACTCTGCCTGTTTTCAGTTTTAGATTATTTTCTACATTCTGGTTTTGCTCTGCATTTTGTCCAGTGGTTCCTCAGAGCTGGCTGGCAGAGAAGCAGGATATAATGGGTGCTGGGGCTGGTTACCCCTCAGGAGTGTGGGGTGAGATCGTAATACTGATTTTAGAAATGCTACAGCCTTCTTGAAGGAGACAGAAAACTACTCAATTTTGCCTTGGTAAAGAAGCATGAAATACAAATAATTCGTTAACAGTGCAATCACTGCCTGCCTTTTGCTGAGCTTGGCTGAGGGAGTCAGAAAATTAAACAATCCACTATTGCAGCCTGCTGGTCCCTCCGCTGGCACTGAGCGGTCATTCCGCAGGCCAAAGCTCTGCTCCCTCCCAGTATCCCAAAAGTTCAAGCCCCCGTTTCCCCACCGATAAGTGCCGGGTAGAGGATACACTGTCACCAGATGGAAGGTTCACTACGGCCGGTTCCTCGTTCCCACCGGCTCCAGGCGGGGCCTGGGCTCCCTCTACCGAGAGCGTGGAGTCATGGAAAGCAAACAAACCACGTCCAAGAAAAGCTGCCAGGCAGGGGAACTCCTGTTCCCGGCACAGAGGAGCGGCTCACAGGGCAGAAAACGGGATGTGATAAAATCACAGAAAGCCCCGAACACTTCTTCAGAATCCTGAAGCTGGAGGCAACTACTGAGACAGCGCCTGGACCATGTTCTGTTCTGCAGCTGATTACAGAAAGTCTTGTAACCCCCAGGAAACCCACCAGCCACACACCTGCAGAGGTTAAGAGGAGCTGCTGGGGAACAGTGGTTATCTAGTTATAAAGAGAAATACCAGTACATCACTACATCAGTCCCAGGACAGGGCCCTGGTGTTTTAACACTGGTTTTAACAAAGCACAGAGGTCTCTCACCGAGAGCAGAAGCAGCACTGAATTACCTTTATTGCCTGTGTAACACCTGCAGGGAGGGACAAGAGGAACACGGTAAAAAAACCATGCACAACAGATACATAAATGTCTCTTAGAAATCTTTCAGAAGAAAAGGAGAGCAGCTGGAAAGCTGACACCTCTACACAGCCTCATGAGCTAAGGTTTCTGATTTACAAAGTCACATTTTTCTTTTAAAGCTGGTATTTTAAAATGGTATAGAAATGCTTCTTTGCTAAGTGAATTAACTTATTTCACGATAAAAATATAGTTTAGTTCTATTAAATTTTCTTCTGAAAATAAATGTTTCTATTTTTCTGCTATGACAATAAATTACAATGTATCACAAATGTAGGCTTTAAGCAGAGTTACAAATAAGCAGGAATTAAGTATTCCACCTATAGTTTAGCTGAATTCAAGGCCCTTAATAAGAGATAAGCTGAAGGTGCATTTATAATCCAAACTCAATTTGACAAGGTAAATACACATAACTGAAGTAGATTTAATGGGATTTAGTGCTGTGGTACTTGTATATAGGATAAGTATTCATGAATGATCTGTTCTTCTTCCTCCAGTGTTAAATCCAGATAATCCTCTTCATGTTCAGGGATATCCTCTAGGATTTCATTGACTGCATCAGTCTCCATGTCTTCATCTGTTGGTGAACTAGAAGAACCTTCCAATAAAAAGAAGCAGCAGTGAATTCACCTCTGAAGGAAGTTGGTACTTTCCCTCTTTCACAAGCATGGCTCGTCTGCCAGTCTGCTCCTGCACAACTACCTCTCACAATTACTCTGCAAAGGATAGGGCAGGATGGCCAGTTTTTCCTACTATTTCCTATTATTCAAAGGTAGAGGAGAGCCTTTAGTTATACAACAGGGATCACTTACAGCTGTGACAAATAATTGAGGAGAAAAATATACCTGCAAGGATCGATTATCAAAGGCTGCCTTGTCAGTGTTTCCAAAACGAGCAGCCTGGGGCACTACTCGAGCCCCTCTATCACTATTTAAGCAGAAATCACTTAATTATTCCATACAACAGCCTTCCCCTTCCCCACCTACTGCATGCAACATTCTTACCTGCAGACTCTGTAAGCAAGTCCTTTGATGAAGCCGATTCCTCGGATGGGCTGGACGCTTCTGAGGACAGCAGCAGGGAAGCAGGAAGAACTCCCCCATAATGAGCAAGGGTTTGGGAAGCCACGTGGATGTTGCCTTTAAAGACCTTTAAAGCTTGTTCTGCCGACTCACGGCTGAAACCCATATACATCAGCTGCAGGAGGGGGGGAAAAACCAAAAATAATGAAAATCTGGAGAAATCCAAGCTCATCCGGCACCAGGGTCTGACAGGAATATCCCTCTGCATCCCACATTCCTTCCTTTCACACACACAGGAAAGCGCTGCATGCCAGGAATTCCAGGACACTGACTCTGGCTTAGTGAACAGTTAACAACAGGGCAGTGACCTATTAAAGGCATGGGGATGTTGAGCAGGATCAAAAGCCTCTTGTCTAGTATCAGACCCATTTTTTTTTTCTGTTTTCAAAAGGAAACTTCAAAGCACTCCAGTGTGTCAGGAGGGTGCACGTGCTGTTTACTTTCTCTAGGCAATACAGTTTTCTTGCCTGACATTAATTACTCAGCCACACTAACTACTGAGGAGCATGTCATGAGAAAGACACACTCCAGCTCTTTCCCTTGAGCACTGCAGACTTAAATAAATTTCTCATTTGCTGTTTTTTTTCGGGATAGAGCACTGTAGTGCACATACTTCCCCTCTGCACCTGTGCATGGCAGGTTGGTGCAACAGGCAGGAACTACAGACAAATTACATTTTAGCTTGAGCATGACTTCACTGTGAGGAGCGAGACAGAGAGTGGAATGGTGACAGCCTGAGTGACATGGGTCAAGGAATATTTGTACAGCTTTGCTTAAGGATGATCTGCCTTATGTTTGAAAACATAATTCAGAAACAAGACAACCAACTCCCAAGAAAGCAAGCAGTCTAACTTACTTGCTCAATGCTTTCTGGGGAAACCTGGAACTGGTCCGTGGCCGCAGAATCATCGTCATCATCTTCCAACAGTAATTCTGGATTGTCAAGAATAAACTACAACAAAACAGAGAGGACCAGAATA